TGAGTTTCGTGATTCTGGTGGGCAAAGACGAGTTTGACGTTGACTTCCAGGTTTTCTGAGTTTTTGCAGTTCTAATTGTGAGGGTGATGAAGATGGTGGTTGAACGATGTTAACGGTAACTGATGCAAGGTGGAAATGGTGGTACAAAAGGGTTGAGGGAGAAGGATGGTGGTTGATGAAATCTCTAATTTTCATAAACAATTAAGTTCAATTAACCTTTTTAAATTTTTTTAATTATAAAAGTAAAAAAGCTCACCTAGACTCAGCTATAAATATCTAATAATTTGTCAATTAACATCAGCATGCTACATCAACATGTTAGCCCAATTTAACAGCAAAGATCTAATTACAGATTTTTACAACAATTAGACCCCAATTAAGACGAAAAAAAAAGCAAGAAATCTATTTGACCCATTGAAATATCATTCCTTAACGATCTTACTTAACTCTCAACAATCTAAACAAAAACTAGGTTTCTTATATGTCTTCTTATCCAACTTCGTCTTTGGTTCTCAATTTAACACACCTAACATAAATTGTTCATTTCGTTAAATTTCTAATTTTCTCTTAAATTTTACTTTTTATGTAGAGTTACTCTACAAGTTGTCACTAATCTTAGCCTCATTTCAAACACTAAAACCAAGGGAAATCTACTTCTATCTTGGATGTAACCTTAACATTTTCTTTGAAAAAATGTGTAAATTTCTACACGTGAAACATACCACTTCTTCTATCTCAACAACTATCAAATGCAATTGACTAAAGTCAATACACCAAGAAAATAATATATGGACCTTTCAAAGTTCTACTCCAAAGACAATTTCAAAATCCACAAATAGAACACTCACTGTAAGGAAATATCTTTCACTAGAATCAATCATCTATTTAAAATCAATTACCCATAATTATGGAAACAACAATCCAAAACATGTTGCACACTATAAATTATGTAACTATCATCAACTTACTCATTAGTTTAAATGTTTAGAATAAAAAAGAAAATAGTCTTAGATTTAGTTATGAGTGTGCACTCTCATCGCTAACTCCAAATTATTTCTCTCTTAATATTGTTGTTTTAACCAATCAAAATAAGCCAAATTGGATTTACACAATTATACATACTATAAAAACACAACACACTTACAACTCAGCCAATCCTAAGGTTGAGTTGTCCAGAATTCTTACACAATAATCGAAAAGACAAATATATAACCAACATAACAAAAAATATAACCCCCTCTTCTGACAATTTAGTTAAGGTTTGAATTTCTCTTATACCAAAATGTAATAAGCAAAAAGTTCTATAACAACCTCTAATAATTCTTAATTATCATATGGTCCATGCTACATTGATAATTGTGTGTGAACTAATTCACGTTACAATTCTTAATACCATAATTGAGTTTTTTAAAATGAAGTTTATGATAAAATCTATTTATAATTTAGTCTTTTATTAATAAAATATTCACAAGTTATTTTATTATGGTTTAATCATTTCGAAGATCCTTATTTGTGCAAATTCGTGTCAATTAGGTCCTCGTATTTTTAAAGAGCTCAATTAAGTCATTGTTTTATGTAAAATTGAGTCAATTATGACCTTGTAGTTAATTGTTATGGACGGCGTTAAATTTTTTGTCCGATGGCATGCTGAGCTAGCAATTAATAAGCACGTGGCATAGTGAAGTCTCATTATGTGGAATTATTTTATTTTAAGTTTAAAATAAGTTATATTTAATAAAAACAGTCCTTGTAAATGAAGAGATTTTAAAGCTCATAAATGCCTTAACCATTCTAAATCCAACCATAAACGAACTCCTTATATTTATACTTCCACAATCAATCAACTCCACAATCTCATCAGATAGAGAAAAAGAAAAACTAAAAATGGTTGAAGAGAATTCATCCACCCCATCACCTCCTCTCCCCTCACATCCTCTTCTCACCACCCGACGCTGACGCCCTCACCCTCTTCTACCGCGCCGCCGCACCACATAGCACCTCCCACCTCTCCTCCACCCCCAAAATCGCCTTCCTCTTCCTCACCAACTCCAACCTCACCTTCTCCCCTCTTTGGGAAACCTTCTTCTCACCCTCCCACACCCACCTCTTCAACATCTACATCCATGCCCAACCCCAATCCAACTGCCCGGCGCACCTCCCGTGCTTCCCCATCTCTCATCGCCGCTGCCAGTCGCCTCATCTCCGTCGCACTCCTCTACAACCCCCTCAACCACTACTTCGCCCTCCTCTCCCAACACTGGATCCCTCTTGACAAAGTATAATTATTATTTTTAAAATCAAATTGACCTGAAATTTACGAATGATTAAAGGTAAAAACACATTTGACTCAAACTAAACAGTCTTACAAAAAAATATCCCAATTTATTTAGGTTATCAATTTTTTTTGTAACATCCAACCTATTTTACAATGTTTTAAAATTGTTCTTCTTTCCATCTCTTGTACTCCATTTAACCAAATAATGTAATGGAAAAAGAAAGGAATGAGAGGTGAAGTGAAATTTTATACCTTAATGTAATATTATTATTTAATTAGAATTAAAGATATTGTAAATATATGTATATTTTCTATTACAACATTTTATACCAGAAAAGAGATTTTCAGTCCTCATCCCACAATAGGATCACTGTTTCTTCTTCGCCACCAAGTGGCAAACCCTCCTCCCAATTCATCCACACTCTACATCGATGTTATGGTCACCCAATTCTTCGTGCACACCACATGTTTGTAAATTTGTCTCAATGGCATTATCCTTTCTCCATTGCCACCATCTTCCTTACACTATAATAACCCAACGTCACACAACACCTTTTTCATTATCTTTCTCTATCTCTTCCACCTTCAGATTCTCCTCGGGTCTCTCATCTTCCACTTATTCCACTCACCACCCTCTCCCCCCAACTCCTCGACCTCCTCCGCCGCCAACACTGTGCACTGTTTCTACGCTGGTTTTGAGTCAACTCAGAAGACTCTACTTCAGGTGCTCCCCATAGTGCTTCACCGCTAACAATTTGTCAATTCCATCGAAAAACCACCAATAGATGACGCCAAAATCGTAAGACCAAAGTTCATCCACAACTAATTTCTCACTATAACCCTATTTTCCCCTAATTTTGAACCAGAACAACGAACCCACGAAAAAACTTATGTTTCCCAATTTTCCCTAATTTCGCACACACTCAAAATCTGACCCTAAAATACCAAACTTAACCCTAATACGTTTTAATTTCATTTCCAAAAATAAATATAACATTATGTTTTTTATTAAATTTAACTTATTTTAAACTTTTTTTAAACTTAAAATCAAATAAATCCACGTAATGACGTCTTATTGTGCCTAATGCATATTAAATGCTAGCTCAGCATGCCACTAGATAACAAATTTAACCCTGTCCACAACAATTAATGGCAAGATCATAATTGACTCAATTTTACATAAAAAGGGATCTAATTGAGCTCTTTGAAAATATGAGAACCTAATTGACACAAATATACACAAACAGGGACCTCCAAAATGATTAAACGTTTTATTAAAACTTCTATAGCTTTCTAAAATACTTATTTTCTTGATCTTTACAAGTTGTACATATAATTATACAAAATAAATTTCGTACAAATTTTAATCCTACAAAAAATTAAATTTTGTTTTTCTTTTTCAACATATTCTCTTGATCTTCACGTTCTAAAAGATATTTCAAAATACATTAAAGTAAACACATAAGTACTTAATATAAGTTAGAGACATAACACAACTTAAAAAAAATGCAATCTATTATCTCTATAATGTACCTATACTAATTTCTTCATTTTCTCGATCTAGTTCTAATGTTACTATCTCCTTCTGCTCCTATGTGTTAAAGAAGCTTAAAGAAGGAGTCTACCATAGTTCTTCTTGAAGCTACTGTTATAAGTGGACTTCAAGCCTAACTTAACCCCACAATACTGGCTTGTAGGGTGAGGTTTGCACTCACTTATAAACTATGAATTGGCCTTGTCTCCAGTCGATGTGGGACTTCCAGCACACCTCCCTCACACCGAGGTATATACATCTCGAGTGTGGGATTAGACATTTTTAATGGGTGGTTCGATAGCGGCCCGATAGCGGGTGGAACAATATGCCAAGCAAACAACAAATATCGCTAAGATAGGCTCTAACCATGACTCTGATACCAAGTTAGAAGTGGACTTTAAGCCTAACTCAATCCCACAAAACCGACTTGTAGGGTGAGGTTTGCACCCATTGATAAACTATGAATTGGCCTTATCTCTAGTCGATGTGGAATTCCAACCGCTACCTAAGCTTGCCTTCTGGATTGAAATGTTGAGAGTTCTTAAGGGAGTATTTCCCAAGTTTGCTCCAATGGCTTTCACTCGTCAAGAAAAAGGAGAGAGAACGGTAAGTTTTCCTAAAAAGTAAGGACAGCCAAAAAAGAACCATACTAGAGGAAAAAAAATGAGTTTCAAATGTACAAACTTCTTTGTTATAATTATTTGATTATAAAAATTTTACTTATATTTTTATATAAATAAGTTATTAAAAAAATGAAAATAAGAGTTTTAACATATTTAAATCTAATTAGAAAAAGTTAGTTTAATAAAAAAGTTTTTTTAGTAATAATAAAATAAATTAAAATATTAAAATTTAGTATTTACTATTTCAAAGTTTAATCATATAATTAGGATAGGAAGGAAATCATATAATTAGGAAGAAAGGAAAAGAAACACTAAATTCTTTTATATAAACCCAATATTATATTTATTATAGGCTTTATAAAAATAAAAAAGTTAATAAAAAATTAATATAACACTATATTATTTAGATATAAATTTAATGATAAATTATATATGAAATTTTCTTTAATATAACTGTAATAAATATTTATTTATAAACTATTATTCAGCCAATAATTTATAAACAAATGTATTAGTATTTCGATATTAATCTTTAAGATTCACATAATTTTTATACAAAAAAAAGGCTTAAAATAAACACGCAACAGCTACACCAAACTAGTGAAGGAAATCACGGCACCGTCCCATTGCGTAAAACCCTAATCCCAGTTATCGTTCACACATAAACCCTTTCCCCACTTCCTTTTTGTTGTTTTTCTTCACTTCCGACGGCTTCTCAGAATCAAAGAAACATTTTTTATTTTGTTTCTGCAACACTTTGTTATCCTTCATCTTCGCGCTCCGTTCCTTGTCGAGTAGAAGAAACCTAAAATGTAACAACCACCCACCCCCCTCTTGGAAACCGCGATTCGAGGTTTCCGAGCTTAAACTATCCTCGAGTGCTCCTAGGAAAGACAATAAGGTAACAAGTGTCTTTTATTTCGTTTGAAAGATTAAATTTTTGCGGTGGGTATGGAAGCAGCGAGAGTGGGTGTGGGGGTTGAAGGTGGGAATGGGAGCAACGTGAAATTGTTGCAGCCTAAGGGTCAGCAAGTACAAGTGGGAACAGTGTCTCAGCTTCTCGCTGGTGGACTAGCCGGTGCTTTCGCCAAGACCTGCACTGCTCCACTTGCACGCCTCACCATCCTTTTTCAGGTATTTTTTAAATGTGTTATAATGAATGTGCTTGATTTTAGGGTTGCCTAGCATGTCATGGGGGGTGGATTTTAGGTTTTGGTTGAAATGGGACTGTTTAGGTTTCTCGTCAAGTTGGAAATTTCACCATTTTTAAGACATTCAAATGCATCAGATTTGAATTGATCACATTTTAAATTATTTCATCATTTGAATGACAATAAAATGAAATGGGACTGTTTAGGTTTCTGGTCAAGTTGGAAATTTCACCATTTTTAAGACATTCAAATGCATCAGATTTGAATTGATCACATTTTAAATTATTTCATCATTTGAATGACAATAAATTTTTAATATTTTTATTTGGATAAATTATCATCAAATTCAACAAAGTATTTAAATATCAAATAATTATTAAATTAAAAAAAATATAATCTTTTAGTAGATCTTGATTGATGTTATTTTTATTTTTGTAAAAAATTTTAAAAAATATTAAAAAATATTTATTATAATTACAAACTTTTTTCTTAATTTAGATTTTAGCTAGATTATTTTCAAATTATGAAATGGGAAATGGGCCACATACGAGCTCATGCAAGTTCGGTCGACTTAGCCTAGGTCAACCTGAACCAACCAATACATAACATTGGGTCGAGGTCATGCAAGTTCGGTCGACTTAGCCTAGGTTAACTTGAACCTAAATCAAGTTGAATAGGCCTAAGTCTAAGTTGAGCCTAGTTTGGTCTACTTAGCCTAGGTCAACTTGAACCTAAACCAAGTTGAGTAGGCCTAAGCCTAAGTTGAGCCAAATAGGCCCGAGCTAAAGTCAAGCCAAATAGATCGGAGTCAAGTTGAGCTAAGTAGGTCTGAGTCCAAGTCGAGTCCAACCTTGGCCCAAGACTGAGTCAAGTTTTCTTGGACTCCGGTCCAATTTAGTTAGCTTGGATTTATGTCAAGTTGGGGCTCAATGTGAGTCAAGTCGATATAAGTCCACATTTAGTAGAGTAAGGATTAGTCCCCATTCATCTGAATTGGGTTTGACCCATGTTTAGTCAAGTTGGGTTAGGCTTAGATTGGTCCTAGTTTGATCATGACTGAAGTCCAAATTAGCTTAATTAAGACAAGGTCAAGTTGAAGTTGCCTGGGGCCAAGTCAAGTCAAAGTTAGTCAGGCCAATTGAGTTGAGTTGAGTTGGTATGTGCAAGTTGAGCCTAGCCAAGTTTACTTAAGCCAAAGTTGAGCTAAGTCAACTAGGGCCTATATCAAGCCTAGTCTACCTGGGTCTAAGTCAAGCTAAGTTGGACTAGGCCCATGTCGAGTCATGTTTGGTTGCGATTAGCTTGGGTTGGGTCCTAGTTGGGTTGGCCTAGTTAGGATCACAAATTAGGTTAGATTTGGCCAAATCAAGTTGGTCTCGTGTTAGGGCGAAACATTGGGTCATGTCAAACTAAGTTAGGTCGAACTTACATCAAGTTGAGCATAGCCTATTCAGGATCTAGTTGACCCAAACTATTAAGACTGAAATATGAGTTTAAGAATATGAAGAATTTCAAATTCTTACTTTTTTTTAGAATTTGAAATATTTTAATTTTAAGTAATCCAATTTTTTGAATGAAATTCTAGAATTTCAATTTCTTTCAAAATTCCTTACCCAACTAACATATTTTGTCCTAAAGCATTTCAAATTCTCTGAAAAAATGAATTAGCCTCTTAAAATGTTTTATCTATTAAACACATTATTAACTAGTGTATTATCAAACTATTTTTACATGCATTTACTTTATCAGGTTCAAGGTATGCATTTTGATATGGCAGCATTGAGTAAGCCTAGCATTTGGGGTGAGGCTTCACGTATTGTCAATGAAGAAGGATTTAGAGCATTTTGGAAAGGCAATATGGTGACCATTGCTCATCGTCTTCCTTATTCTGCGGTCAATTTCTATGCTTATGAACGCTACAAGAATGTAACGTCTGATGATCTTTACATAATGTTTATGTGCTCTAGAAATTGTTACTTAAGTTTCTTAAGTTTGAATCAGTTTCATTGTTTTGTATTCTGTTACAGCTATTACATATATTTTTGGGTGAGAATCATCGAGGAAATACCAGTGCAGATCTGTTTGTGCACTTCGTAAGTGGTGGTTTGTCTGGCATAACATCTGCTACAGCTACATATCCTTTGGATTTGGTGAGAACACGACTTGCAGCACAGGTAATTACCAATTATCGATATTTGAAGATTTTTGGAGCTCAGTTGCATGCATTGTATATTGGTTAGATTTTAATTGGAACTTACTATTTCATTGACTTTGATCCAGTTTGTAATGACTTTTGGGATTTGATTTCTCTGCAGAGAAGTTCCATATACTACAGGGGCATCTCTCACGCTTTTAATACCATTTGCAGAGAAGAAGGGTTCTTGGGTCTCTACAAGGGACTTGGAGCCACATTGTTGGTATGCTCATGATGTGTTTTCAACTCTTCTCTTTAGCTTCTTTATGTTTACGATCCTGCTATATTTTACAATTGGCATAACTTGTTTTGTATGGTACAGGGTGTTGGACCCAATATAGCTATAAGCTTTTCTGTTTATGAAGGCTTACGTTCTTTTTGGCAGTCCCGAAGGTGAGTATCTGAATTTGCAACGAATTGAGAGTATTTTATGTGGAAGGTTACCTCCTCGTGTTTGGTCTTATTAGTTTGTAGATATTTATTTATTCTTTGAAATTTAGGCCCGATGATTCTACTGTCATGGTCAGTCTCGCTTGTGGAAGTCTTTCTGGTGTTGCATCGTCAACAGGTAGGTTTTTATTGATAGTTGTTGTCTCCAATATCAGTTTCTGTTCCAAAACCTAAAATCTAAATTTTAATTTGAAAAGTTTGAGTTAATAGTATTTCCAAATAAGTCATTTCAGCTACAATCTAATCAAAGAATTTTTCTTCAGATAGCAATTTCCTCATCTGGTATGAGTCATTCTTACTTTAATTGTTCAATTGTTGTCTCTTGCAACATGCAGCGACATTTCCTTTGGATCTAGTAAGACGCAGAATGCAGTTGGAGGGAGCTGGTGGTCGAGCACGTGTCTATAATACCAGTTTATTTGGTACATTTAAGCACATAGTTCAGAATGAAGGACTACGTGGTTTGTACAGTGGCATTTTGCCTGAGTACTACAAGGTTGTTCCCAGCGTGGGCATTGTCTTTATGACATATGAGACATTGAAGATGTTTCTATCAAGCATTCCAAGTTAGGAAACACTCTATTCTTATCCTATCTCATGATTCATTACTATTTTTATCCTTTAGAAGGAAATTTTGTGATGGATTGTATTATTGTCGTAGCCACGAGCACAATTTTGTATTTGTATAGGTAGTTATAATTTAGCGAGTTACAGCAATTGTACCAAATCGAATTTTAGGTCAGAGTTATGGATGATTAAAGAAATAGTTTGGTTGTAGAATTTTCTACCATTAAGATATTATTAGTGAATGTACACTCTATCAATGTTAGCATTTTATTTATCTTGCCCATGATGTTCTGGGGATTCTTTGTTTTGAGATGAACGTGAATTATGTTTTCATCATTGAAATTCTCACATATTCTAAAGCACTCTATTATTAATTAAAATGCATGCGGGAACCACTATTTATGTATGGGTTAAGATCCAATCTCTCTTTTTGCGTGAGCAACATTTACGTTTTATGTTTTCATCCAATAGTACAAAAAGAAATGGGTTTAACATTTTAACGTGAAAATGTTGCTGGACATTTTTTGTTGTATTTCCCATTGTTGTTTGGGTATATTAGATTGGATGCAATGAATTTTAACGTATACACATGATAAGGAAAAAATTGTAAATCAGAGGATAATCTTAAGCAGAACCAAAAGGTCTGGCTGTAACAATATAAATAATATTACTAATATGATTATTACAAATTAAATTTTAGTAATATAATTATTTACTTAAAATTAATCTTAACACGTAGGTTAGAAGGTACCTATCACAACCAGCATGAGGTTGACGATTTTAGGAAAAACTAGTTTTAAACCCATTTGGGTTGATGTTTATTAAAAAAAATTAGAGATTAAGAAAGAAATAATAAATATTTTCAAGTTTATAATTATGTTTATAATACAATCAACTTGAAAATTTATTTATAGGTTTAGAAAGTCAATATGTTATTAATATATATATATATATATATATATATATATATATTAGACTTTTTAAAAAATATAGAGTAGATTATCTAAAAATATAAAGAAGATATATAAATAAGTAGAGTAGACTCACTAAAATTATAAATAAGTGTATGTGTATGCTAAACTCGTCCAATTAATGCATTAACAATATTGACTAATATGTAGTGTTAGACTTTTCTAGTCATTATATGAACACAATCGTCTAATGTGTATTGTTAGACTCGTCTAATTAATGGACAAATTTGTTTAATGTATATTATAAAACTCGTCTAATCAGAAAATGCACAAAGTTATCTAATGTGTATTAATAGACTCATCTAATATGTATATGGACATACATTTCTAACATATATTTCTAGACTCCTCTAATTAGTATATGGACAAACTCATTTAATGTGGATTGCAAGACGCGTTTGATCAATGTTTGAACATATTTGTTTAATGTGTATTATTAAACTCATCTTATTAATGTATGAAATGACCCATCTTAATATTTTTTTACTATATTCATCTAATGAGTATATGGACATACTTGTCTAATGTGTATTCCTAGATCCGTCTAATGTTTTTCTCATATACCCATCTAATCAGTATATTCCTAGACTTGTCTATTGTGTATTGAGAGATTCATTTAATTAGTGAATGAACATACTTGTCTAATATGTTTTAATAGACTTGTTTAATTTATGTGTGGAATGACGTGTCTAATGTATATTGTTAGTGTCGTCTAATCAATATACGAATAACTTGTCAAATGTGTATTACTAGACTCATATAATCAATACATTAACATATTTGTCTAATACTTTTTGTTTTACTCATCTAATTAATGTATTCCTACACTTGTGTAATAATTTTTGTTGTACTCCTCTAATCAATTTATGGAATGACTTATTTAATATTTTTTTGTTATACTTGTATAATAAGTGTATAAAGAGTCTTGTATAACCTGCATTGTTAGACTCATCTAATTTGTTTATCATTGTATTGAAAGACTTGTTTGATATGTATTACTTTACTCGTCTAATCAATACATTGATAGACTCTTCGAATCTATATTACTAGACTTGTTCAATTAGTATATGGACACACTCATATAACGTGTATTGCTAAACTTGTCCAATAAATGTATATTCAGTCTCGTGTAATGTCTATTGCAAGGTTCATTTAATCAATGAGTGGACAAAATCATCTAACGTGTATTAATAGACTCATCTAATTTGTGTATGGACAAACTTGTCTAATGTATACTTTTAGACTTGTCCAATCAATGAATGTTTATACTCGTTTAACATATATTACAAGACTCGTATATTCAGGCAATAAACAAACTCGTCTAATGTGTATTAATAGACTAATATAATTTGTGTATGGACAAACTTATGCAATGTATATTGTCAAGTTTGTCTTATGATCTATGGATAAACTTGTTTAGTGTTTGTTGTTAGACTCGTCTGATCAGTGTACATACAAACTCATCTAATGGGTATTTCTAGACCTGTCTGATCAATGCGTGAAATGAGTTGTCTAATGTTTTTTTTATATACTTGTCTGATCAATGCGTGAAATATTTTGTCTAATGTTTTTTTTATATACTTGTCTAGTGATTATATGAAGATACTCACCTAGTATGTATTGTTAAACTTGTCTAATCAGTGCATCGACAAACTTGTTTAATTTTTTTGTTATATTTACTAATCAATGTATTTTTAGACTCGTTTAATCAATGTATGGGCTGAGTTATATTAATGTTTTTTTACTCATCTAATTAATGCGGACAAATTATTTTATCGTATATTACTAAAATCGTTTAATGATTTTTATTATACTCGTCTATTAATGTGGAGTAGACTCGTTTGATGTGTATATTACTATACTTATTTAATATTGTTTGTTATATCTGTCTAGTGTAGTTTAATGTATATTTCTAGGTTAATCTAAGGACAATATAAATATATTAGCTATATATTTTAAAACAATTAGTTTGTTAGTTTTATCTTTTATTTTAGTTTTATCTTTTAGACTTAATACCCTATTTTGTCCCCAGTTTCGCTCGACAATGTCAAATTAGTCCATCCTTTAAAACGTGCGTCAATTACGTCATTATTTAATAAAATTTATATCAACGAAATCCTTACCGTTAAATCCGTACAAACGGCGTTAATAGAAGAGAGAGAAAAATAATTAACGCCGTTTGTACGGATTTAACGGAAGGGATTTCATTAATATAAATTTTATTAAGTAAGGACGTAATTGACGCACTTTTTAAAGGATAGACTAATTTGACATTGTCGAGCGAAACTGGTGACAAAATAGGGTATTAAGCCTATCTTTTATTTTAGTTTTACTAAAATGTTAAGCTTTACATTTTCAAGTTGAAAGTAATTAAAGTTAATTTAAATAATATAAGACAAAATTTATAATATTAAGAAGTGTGATTTTTTAATCACAAATATATAATTTATATATTTAAAACAAAATATTAAGTACAATGTTTTAATTTTATTGTTGCAAATATAATTATTTAAAATCTTATACCAATGTACATATGATTAATGCTAATTTTTTTTTTAAATAATATCAGTTTACTTTTTACTTACTAAAACTATGAAAAATATTTAACAATAAGAATATTTATATTATAATTTAATATAAAAAGATAAATTTAATTTTTTGTTGACAATTTTTTGTAAGAAAAAATTATTATATGATAATGTAAACAATTTGCCTTATATAAATAAATATATAGCATTTTTTTTAAATAATAGTATGTTAAGAAATAAAAGTAAAATATATTTTTATAAATTTTATTTTGTTAAATGATCAAGTAATTAGAAATAATAAAAGGGTAAAACTAAAAGTGAAAAAAATAGTTTGGAAAAAGTTTAATAATTAAACATAAGTTATTTTTATCTAGTAGTTTTTTTTATATTTGTTAAATATGGGTTGTTAGACTTATCTAATAAATATACTTATAATATATATTATTCATAAATTCATTTAATGATAATATAAATACACTAGTAGTTTATTTTAAGATAATTAATTTGTTAACTTTTACTTTTTGATGATTCGATTTTACTAAAATGAAAATATAAGAAAATCACCAAAGGTGAAGAAAGGAGAATAATGTTTTTCAAAGTCTTCAGAAAGCAACGTCTAATGATTTTGTAAAAAGAATATATATAAATAGTAAGATATTTAGACACTAGTTTTTATAAGATGAGTAAATGGAAAATGTTTTGAATAGCAAGCAATAAACCATAAATTTTATACAAATTTTATACTGATTCACTCAACATTAACTATGTCAAGTTCTCCCTTAAGAACTCTTAAAGGATTCCATTAATCTCTTTAAGATTACACAAGTTTTACCTCTCTAAGTTTACAACAAGTATTTTCACCACTGCTGGTTTCCTAGTCAACACGACTAGTGTGAGTTTAACTCGTTCTTATTTATAAGTTTTCTTATCACTCATGGTTCCAAATATTTTAACCAATTCTGGTTTCAAGTATGTTAACCACTTCTGGTCTCAACTCTAAACAACATGTCTAGACAATTATTTTATTTTTCTTTAGAATTTACCACATAAATAGTGTGAAAAGCAAGGGTACAAATGAAAACTTTTAAAGAGAGAATATAGACAATATAAGGTGTTCTGTATTTTGCTAAGATTTTTCTCACAAAAGATATTCAATTTCAAATGATATATGAGCGTAGCAAGCTTGAATTCTCTATTTTATTCTTTCTATATTATCATCTTTACGTTGCTATTTTTCTTGTCTTCTCTTCAAGCTTTCTTCTATATATAGCTTCTCTTGATGATTGTTAAACAGAAAAATTAACTTCAGGAGAGTAGGTAACCTTTAAGTAGAAAGTCAGACTTTAGTCTATTTTGTATGGGTCAAAGCTTTTTCTTACAGTCTTTAAGCGAAATTGAGCTTGTACAATGTGACAAAATGAAAGACTTCAAAGGAAACATTCCCTAAATGCTCTTCTTCTTTCACAACATCTTTTTCTTAGATATAATGATTCTAATCATATATTTCTACTTTAATGATATTTACACATGTAAAAAGAGACTTGATTGTTTAATTGATCCCACATCCCCTAATTATTGTCAATATGTTATATATATATATATATATATATATATATATATATTAGATTATTAAATATTTTATATAAATATCTTATCTTTATTTATAGTTTGTTTGTTATTACTTTTTAATTGTATTTTGGTAATGGTTTATATTTTTTTATTATAAATAAAGTACTATTATAATCAGACAAATAATTTTTACTATATTTAGGGACTTGTCAATTTTA